CGTCGTCACCTTTTCCCAACCCTTCTGCGTGTCCCCCTTGGAAAGAAGATCAACTGTCGCCATGAGACACAGCTGACAAATGTAACAAATGATCTGTGGACAAATGATTTGTGGTGAACTGCGCCTGGGCCACAAAGATAACACAGGACATAACAAGTGCTGCAAGAATATGTTTGTATAACAAGTGAGGACCATGATAACTGGTGTCAAACAAGGCAGTGAAGAGGTGAAGAGTGCTTGTAGTCACTCACAAAATCTACATGAATCAAACGGATCTAACATGAGAAACCACATAACACAATCATTACAGAAACCTACTACTGACACATGAAGAACAAGTGTCCACACTTGAGGTCTGCACTGCCGCACGCATCCAAAGATCCCAAAGAGCACCTGGCAAACGTCAAGCTAAGTGCACTCACCTGTGTATGCCAGGATTGGGGGTATGGATGAATGCTGCGAGGGTATGGGTAACTGACACTTGACCAGTCAAGTTTCATTTTATGTTCCGCCCCGCCCCCCTTCTTGACATGTGCAAATTCAAAGACAAACTTGCCAACCCCTAGAAATTGTGTCAGGACAGTCGACCCTGAATTGATGTTTTCCAGTATGCCCAGTATGCACTAAGAAAGAAACTCAGACAATTGCTGCACTTCTGAAAGGCTCATGTTTTAAAGTTCCCCTTCACTCCCAAGCTTCCAAGCTTCAAGAAGAAGCACTTATTGTTGTCACACATGACACATGAGCACACTCTGAAAGCAGAAAAAGACACAAATTCTTTTTTGACATGTAAAACTTGTTTATTTGACTACCGCTCTTTGCAAAATGAACACATGTCATCATCAAATAAAATTGGATATATGTGCCATTGTGTCAAACTGTGGACAAATGTCTCGAGCTGCCTTTGTTCAAGTCAAGCCTTGTGCTCAACCAACGTTGGACATATGTTATCACGAACTAAGGTACACATGTATCGGAGGCGAGGGTGGAATGGCCGGAATCACAGCATCAAGCTCCGTAGGCCTCAAGTAGATCCCCCACGCCTCAACACAGATTTGTCCTGAGCGCAGGCCATGCTGAGAAATGGAAAGTGTTGCCACTGGGACTTCAAAAAGTAATTTCTGTTCAAAAACCAAAACACAAAAACATGTCATGTGTCCAAAATAAAGTGCTATTGAAGAGGGAAGGCACCATCGATGACAACAAATGTGTGATCCTGGTTGAAGGACAATTGTACATTGAAGAGCCTTCCACAGTAGGGGACAACTGTGACCTGAGCAGGCACGTTCTCATCGAGCCACGACACATGACGCTGCAGCGACGTGCGGCGACGCCGAGGGTTCCGATTGGCCCACTCAATCGCCTCATGGAGCAGGTAGAGCTGTGCACTCCTTAGGGTGCAAAGCAAAATCACAAATGAGAACTAACACATGTACTGGAATATTTCAAGAATCATGTGTGGATCCAAGCTATGGATGCACCACTTATAAAAATCCAAACCTTTCAAGAACAGACTAGAAAAATATACTCATGTCAAAGAACAACATGTCACTTCAGACACGGGTTGTCGGCACATGAGTCACAATTGATGGCAAAGGCGCCTTCATCATATGTCCTTAATGACAGTTTTCCACCAAGTCTTAAAATTGAATGAAACAATGACATTCTATTCGAACGAAACCTCACCAAATCTCTCTTCCAAAGAATTTGACCCAACTGTCAACATGAAAGTAACATCGTGCAACTATTTTATTTTTTGGTTCAACAATAAAAAGGAAAATGCTGACCTCAAAAACAAGTGACTCCCTGTGGACTTCTGGCACTGCTGGATAGTTGTTGGACAATTGTATCGCCAACTGTAACCCCCTTGGTTGTCAAGTGGTTGCCATCAATGGCATCCCCATAAATAAAAAAACACCAATACAAAAACAGTTGGCAAACCAATTATTTAACACATCCACTTTGAATTTCAACCATCAAAATATACAGTTCTAGTTTATCAACAAGTAACTGACGCGTATCATTGCGTGGATCTGGAACTGGGCGGTGCAATGCCTCCGTTACAAACCGGATACCGGTGTCACCCAAGCCACACAAGTACTCAAAGACCAACGGCGTCGCCACTTGCGACTCAACCATACGAATGCGGTCCCCATGTCTAGCCATGACAAATGACCACAGATGAAACCAAAAAAAAGTCTATGGCAGCTTGGGACAAATGTCTGCATTGATCGGCCAGGGATGTCAAAAACATGATTTGCTACTGCCAGAGATGTCAATGACATGAATGAGGAATGAAATAAAACACCTTATTTTTGAAAATATGTACAATATTTTTTTTAAAAAAAAAACATGGTTGTTACAACTGACTAAGCAACTCCTCAGGCACAAAACAAGCCAGTAGCACCTGTGTCGAAGAGATGTTGTTCAAGTCCACAATGAAGCAGCGGCGGGGCAAGACGGTGTAAGAGGGAAACAAACGAAATTAAGGTACAATATGTTGTTGACACATGTCACCACTTTCTACTTATTTATATTATACTTGTTAGGACATAAATTTGAATTTGTACATAAACCATGCCATGTTTGTATTGGGGATTTGTTAATTTTGCATATGCATATGGGATAATCAACCAGAGGATATCAAATATTTCAATTTCATGCAATTCATATCATATGATATCATATGAATATATAGTTTTAAATAACATAAAGTCTCTGCAAACAAAATGTGGCAAAACAAAACTGTAGCTGCAAACAGTTGACTTGAAAAGAAAACAAACATGTGGGTGACGTGATCTTGTTCGATTAAGTCTTCTTATTCAAAACTTTTTTTTTCTCAAAATTTCTCTTTTTCCCATGTTTTCTCATATTTTCCCATGTTTTCCCATGTTTTCTCATTTTAAAACTCTTTATAACTCAAAATCTCTCAATATAACTCTTGAAAAAACCTACCCTATCCAGAACCCACCTAGGTCAAGGTAGCACATTACATTTGGTGATTTAGGGGTCCACGAAAAAAACCCGGCCTGGTAATCTGTTAAATAACTATTGAAACTGGCCATAGAAATCGTGGATTTATCCATTAATACTGTTGAAGCATGGTGATTTTTCATAGTTTTTTTGTCAACGTTTACCAGAGGGTATATATTTAGGGGTCCCAATGCACCAAAGTGAAATATGTGAAAAAACATATTGAAAAAAACAAAACATGTTTTTTTCCTAAGAAAAATGTGAAATCCCTATTTTTTCCATATGCTGAGAAAAAGAGAAAGACAATCCCTGATTGTGAACAGCATCTTTGATAGGTCTGCTGGCAAGCTCATTGTCAATGCTGACAAACTGATATTCAGGTCGATGAGAGAGTCATACCAGGACAAGTCAAGCAAAGACCCAGAAATGCCGAAATGCAAGAGGTTATTCATGGGCAAGTTTAACAAAGCCTGAAGGTGTGGGAATTTTCGTCGGCACACGTGACATCCAGAAGGCTGACATTCCCCTTCAGCCTAATTGTAATGCGGTGCCCTTCCTACCTCTGAAACCCCATCTGGTTGGTGGTGACTGGCACCATGGAATTTTATGACTTTCCAGAAACAGTTGGGAATATCATCATCCCAACATTTCCGAACTCCATCATTTTTCAGAGGGGTTGGTAGCTCAACCACCAACCAGCCATCAACTGTCTTGTTTTTTCCATCACTTTGGTGCATTGGGACCCCTAAATATATACCCTCTGGTAAACGTTAACAAAAAACTATGAAAAATCACCATGCTTCAACAGTATTAATGGATAAATCCACGATTTCTATGGCCAGTTTCAATAGTTATTTAACAGATTACCAGGCCGGGTTTTTTTCGTGGACCCCTAAATGGAATCCATTCGATGGTTGATCGTCCCTTGGCAATCCTGGCAATCCTGGTGCTGCGTTCTTCCCGTGGTCCCTTCGCTTGAATCTTGGCATTCCACTCAGCTATGATGAGCTCTGATCTCTTGGTCTCAATGGGATCTTTAAATCCCGCTCTTCAGGATCTTGGTGTTTCTCCTTGTCTTTTTTTTGTGCTTCTCCTTATGCCAACATGATATTTACAAATGATTAATTTACCATATAACGACATTAAATTTACAACATTAGTTAAATTATCACATTAGATTTACAACATTAATTTTATGTAACCACTTGTTAGTTATATTTTATATTTGAATGTGGTCCTCATACCAACATTCATTGCATGCCCCAAACAAAATAAACAATGGAACATTTTACCGCGCGAGTCCACCGAAGACACCAGCACACCGCACACCAAGATCATATTTATATATATATAGAGGTGTCCCCCAGTTACAAGTTATAAACTCCATTCACTATATAGTTATATATACTAATAACCATAGAATTCAGCCACTGATATCTCAACTGAATGCTATTTTGGGGGCCCCATCCTGTGTATATATATATATGCATCATATTGTATATATATATAATTATATATTTATACAATATCCCAATTTGGTAAACATGTACTTGAAATTTGGTAATCGGTGAACTAACCCAGCCATTATGGTCATTACGAAGAATCTTCAAATCTACTAATAATGATTGGCAACACACCAGCTGCCGCTTTCCATAATGTTCCGTGGATTCACGAACAAATACTGGATTACCGTACTCATGATCAAACCCAGAAATGTTGTTCGTTCTATCCCATGAAACGCAATGAACCTTACCCTCTGGTAAACAAACAGTTTGCTATTGAAAATCGCTATGTTGTAGCTGGGAAAATCCACGATTTCGACTGGGCCATTTTCAATAGCTATTTTGACATAACCAGAGGGTATATCCCGTTTATAACTCCAATAACTATGGTTTATGGCACTTATAACTATAGTTACTGGGGCTTTTGTTAACCAACCTATAACTCGGGGGGGCCACATTGTAGTTTTTTGTATGTTTACCAGAGGGTAAACTTCCATGATCCCATCCCCTCACTCACCGCCGCTCCTGACTTATCTGACTTCCAGCACTCGTGCGGCTCGACGAACGGCCGCGGCCCGGAAAGGCACTGGGAGGCTGCAAGGACGGACGGTGCTCCTCGGATGGAACGGGGAAAAAGATGCAACCAAAATGGTGTCATTAAATGATACCCGGCCTGGTAATGATGGGAATATAATGGGAATATCACCAGGATAGGTATATGAATGGCATCTTAATGGGGATATAATATGGGAATAATTGGGATATTACCCGGCCTGGTAAACTAACAGTTTGCTATTGAAGCCATGGCCATAGAAATAGTGGATTTTCCCAGCTACATAGCATGGTGATTTTCCATAGTTATGTAAACGTTTACCAGAGGATATCCCAGATATGGTTGATATCCCAGAAACTGGAATTCATGGTTGGGATGCTCAAATTCCATTAGTTAAAAGTTTGGAATTTATATCCCAGAAATGGAATTTGAGCAAGGAACATGTGTGGAAAAGATGGGACTGCAGAATGAGGCCCCCATTTAGCAAAGATCACATAAATCATTTGAGGTGAATGAGTTTGGGCCGATTTTCAGGGGATACAACTATAGTACTCATGGGTAAAAAAACAACAACAAACATCGCTGCAAAGCCTCACCCTCCAGCACATCGATGAAACCTTCAAGAAGCCGGTGATACAATGCTGCCAGCATGTGGATTCATCTTCCAAATTACAAATGAACTGTTGGCACTGTTGGTGTGTGATCCTTCAAAGCCCCTGCATACAGAAGTTCCTATATTTTACAAGGTTTGTTTTACAAGGTTTTACCCTCTGGTAAATTAGCATAGACCCTGAAAACAACAACTTTTTCGTGAAAACTAATCAACTAATCTTTCAACCCCTACCTGGCAGTCTGGCGGGGTCTATGTTAAATTACTGGAGAGTAAGTATAACTCTGAAAAGAAACCGTTTGGTGGTCCTAAAATATCGAAGACTGCCCCCTTCGGCTTGGAATGTCTCGGAGAAGGTGTTTAGATGTGGGCACCAAAACCAGCCCAAAAAACAGTCTCAGAAGGTCTTTGGAGCTCTAGAGTCTCTATAAATGTGTTTATATAAAAATATATATGTATATAAATGTGTGCATTTATTTATTTTCTCATTTATATATATATAAATATATATTATATATATATGTATAATTATATAAGTGTATATATATATATATTATATATATTATATATATAATACACATATTTGTAGTCTATAGTGACGGACAATCACTTAGAACGTAATTTTTTTCCATTTTTTTTTTCGTACTTAGAACGTAGCAAAATTTCATCACTTAGAACGTAGGGAAAATTCATCACTTAGAACGTCAAAATATCACTTAGGCCCATTTATCACTTAGAACGTAAACCAACACTTAGAACGTGCTAAGTGATTGTCCGTCGCTATATAAACTATTTTTTCGATTTCAAAATCAATTAAATTTCCTTATATAGCGCAATTAAACATATTGCCAAAAATTGGATTTCGAAGCGGACCCTAATAATAAATTTAGACCCTTAATAAAGCGGCTATTTTTTTCGACTTCAAAATCAATTAAATTTCCTTATATAACGCAATTAAAATATTGCCAAAAATTGGATTTCGAAGCGAATCCTAATAATAAATTTAAACCCTTAATAAAAAGACTAGTTTTTTCGATTCAAAATCAATTAAATTATAACGCAATAAGACTATTGCCAAACACTAGAGTTCGAAGCGGACCCTAATAAATTTAAACCCTTAATAAAACAAAACTATTTTTTTCGATTCAAAACCAATTAAATTTCCTTATATAGCGCAATTGAAATATTGCCACAAATTGGATTTCGATGCGGACCTAAATAAATTTAAACCCTTAATAAGAAAAACCGTTTTTTTCGATTTCAAAATCAGGTAAATTTCCTTATAACACAATTAAAATATTGCCAAAAATTGGATTTCGAAGCGGATCCTAATAATAAATTTAAACCCTTAATAAAAAGACTAGTTTTTTCGCTTTCGAAATCAATTGAATTTCCTTTTATAACGCAATTAAAATATTGCAGAAAATTGGAATTCGAAGTGGAATCGAAATTATGTCTAGGTTTCCTATACGGAATTAGCTGCTGAATCCAACACTTAGAACGTCAGAACCCCTAAAAAGCACCAAAAGGTATAGTGTTCCAGAGATAAAAGATCACCAATATTTGCAAATCATATGGAGGGAAAAGCCAAATGGTACGAAATTATGTCTATGTTTCCTCGGAATTAGCTGCTGAATCCAACACTTAGAACGTCAGAACCCCCAAAAAGCACCAAAAGGATCCAAAAGGTAGAGTGTTCCAGAGATAAAAGATCGCCAATGTCAAATCATATGGGAGGGAAAAGCCAAATGGTACGAAATTATCTCTATGTTTCCTACGGAATTAGCTGCTGAATCCAACACTTAGAACGACAGAACCCCCAAAAAGCACCAAAAGGATCCAAAAGGTAGAGTGTTCCAGAGATAAAAGATCGCCAATGTTTGCAAATCATATAGGAGGGAAAAGCCAAATGGTACGAAATTATGTCTGTGTTTCCTACGGAATTAGCTGCTGAATCCAACACTTAGAACGTCAGAACCACCAAAAAGCACCAAAAGGTATAGTGTTCCAGAGGTAAAGACCGCCAAGATTTGCAAATCATATGGGAGGGAAAAGCCAAATGGTACGAAATTATGTCTATGTTTCCTACGGAATTAGCTGCTGAATCCAACACTTAGAACGTCAGAACCCCCAAAAAGCACCAAAAGGTATATGTTCCAGAGATAAAAGATCGCCAATATTTGCAAATCATATGGGAGGGAAAAGCCAAATGGTACGAAATTATGTCTATGTTTCCTACGGAATTAGCTGCTGAATCCAACACTTAGAACGTCAGAACCCCCAAAAAGCACCAAAAGGTATAGTGTTCCAGAGATAAAAGATCGCCAAGATTTGCAAATCATATGGGAGGGAAAAGCCAAATGGAACGAAATTATGTCTATGTTTCCTACGGAATTAGCTGCTGAATCCAACACTTAGAACGTCAGAACCCCCAAAAAGCACCAAAAGGAATAGTGTTCCAGAGATAAAAGATCGCCAATATTTGCACATCATATGGGAGGGAAAAGCCAAATGGTACGAAATTATGTCTATGTTTCTTACGGCTTAGAATGTCAGACCCCCCAAAAAGCACCAAAAGGTATAGTGTTCCAGAGATAAAAGATCGCCAATATTTGCAAATCATATGGGAGGGAAAAGCCAAATGGTACGAAATTATGTCTACGTTTCCTACGGAATTAGCTGCTGAATCCAACACTTAGAACGTCAGAACCCCCAAAAGCACCAAAAGGTAGAGTGTTTCAGAGATAAAAGATCGCCAATGTTTGCAAATCATATAGGAGGGAAAAGCCAAATGGTACGAAATTATGTCTATGTTTCCTACGGAATTAGCTGCTGAATCCAACACTTAGAACGTCAGAACCCCAAAAAGCACCAAAAGGTATAGTGTTCAAGAGGTAAAGATCGCCAATTCAATATTTGCAAATCATATGGGAGGGAAAAGCCAAATGGTACGAAATTATGTCTATGTTTCCTACGGAATTAGCTGCTGAATCCAACACTTAGAACGTCAGAACCCCCAAAAAGCACCAAAAGGATCCAAAAGGTAGAGTGTTCCAGAGATAAAAGATCGCCAATATTTGCAAATCATATGGAGGGAAAAGCCAAATGGTACGAAATTATGTCTATGTTTCCTACGGAATTAGCTGCTGAATCCAACACTTAGAACGTCAGAACCCCCAAAAAGCACCAAAAGGTATAGTGTTCCAGAGATAAAAGATCGCCAATATTTGCAAATCATATGGGAGGGAAAAGCCAAATGGTACGAAATTATGTCTATGTTTCCTACGGAATTAGCTGCTGAATCCAACACTTAGAACGTCAGAACCCCCAAAAAGCACCAAAAGGATCCAAAAGGTATAGTGTTCCAGAGATAAAAGATCGCCAATGTCAAATCATATAGGAGGGAAAAGCCAAATGGTACGAAATTATGTCTATGTTTCCTACGGAATTAGCTGCTGAATCCAACACTTAGAACGTCAGAACCCCCAAAAAGCACCAAAAGGTATAGTGTTTCAGAGATAAAAGATCGCCAATGTTTGCAAATCATATAGGAGGGAAAAGCCAAATGGTACGAAATTATGTCTATGTTTCCTACGGAATTAGCTGCTGAATCCAACACTTAGAACGTCAGAACCACCAAAAAGCACCAAAAGGTATAGTGTTCAAGAGGTAAAGATCGCCAATTCAATATTTGCAAATCATATGGGAGGGAAAAGCCAAATGGTACGAAATTATGTCTATGTTTCCTACGGAATTAGCTGCTGAATCCAACACTTAGAACGTCAGAACCCCCAAAAAGCACCAAAAGGATCCAAAAGGTAGAGTGTTCCAGAGATAAAAGATCGCCAATATTTGCAAATCATATGGGAGGGAAAAGCCAAATGGTACGAAATTATGTCTATGTTTCCTACGGAATTAGCTGCTGAATCCAACACTTAGAACGTCAGAACCCCCAAAAAGCACCAAAAGGATCCAAAAGGTATAGTGTTCCAGAGATAAAAAGATCGCCAATATTTGCAAATCATATGGGAGGGAAAAGCCAAATGGTACGAAATTATGTCTATGTTTCCTACAGAATTAGTTCCTGAATCCAACACTTAGAACGACAGAACCCCCAAAAAGCAACAAAAGGATCCAAAAGGTATAGTGTTCCAGAGATAAAAGATCGCCAATGTTTGCAAATCATATAGGAGGGAAAAGCCAAATGGTACGAAATTATGTCTATGTTTCCTACGGCATTAGCTGCTGAATCCAACACTTAGAACATCAGAACTCAGAACCCCCAAAAAGCACCAAAAGGTATAGTGTTCCAGAGATAAAAGATCGCCAATATTTGCACATCATATGGGAGGGAAAAGCCAAATGGTACGAAATTATGTCTATGCTTCCTACGGAATTAGCTGCTGGATCCAACACTTAGAGATAAAAGATTTCACAAGCCTTTCCACTATCATCAGTGACCTAGACACGTTCTAAGTGTTAAATCCCCGGTACGTTCTAAGTGATGAATCTTGATATTTGGACGTTCTAAGTGTATGGTTTTCGACGTTCTAAGTGCAAGGCTTAGAACGTAAAAAAAGCAGTAATATTCAGAAAAATTTTTCCAAAATACGTTCTAAGTGATTGTCCGTCACTATATATTAGAAAAAAACTATTTCTGGTCAGCGCCAAGATTCCCGCGCCCAGGAGGACAAACTCTCCACGCTGGTGCCGGCCACATCGAGCCAATCGGTCCTGGACGCAGAGTTCCCGTTGGATCCGTTGGATCGTTCCCGCAACGCGGGGAGATCGTTCCCCCCAAAAAAACGGGGAAGAATCCAACTGTGTTGCGGAGATTATGGGATATTTATGGGATTTTCATGGGATATTTATGGGATATTTATGGGATATCATGGGAGATTATGGGATATTTATGGGATATCATGGGAGATTATGGATTATTATTGGCTATTTATGGGATATCATGGGAGATTATGGGATATTTATGGGATATCATGGGAGATTATGGATTATTATTGGCTATTCTTAGGGAATTAACCAACCATAATGGGGATGTATATATATATATATATACATATATATATATATATACATATATATATATATATTCATGTATTTTTGGGTGGTTTTCTGAAGCCTCATTCGCTAGTTGTATATACCTACCGTAAATTATATTTAAACTCTTGAACTAAACCAACCTAGCAAGCTTCCGGCCACGATGTTTGGGTATTGCCCATGGCAGTTTCAACGGCAAGAATCAGCATCAAACAAGGGGAATTTAAGTTCAAAGGCGCTGACTTTTTTTGGGAATCCAAAATTGTTCACGGAATTGGTTGAGGGTCAATTTTAAAGGAAGCACCTTTGATATGGGAAAATCCCATATTTGTGGCCTCGAGTAATCCAGTGATGCCATTGCATCATCGTGACGGGATATTTTTTAAGGGATTCACTCGTCAAATTGGAGGACCTAAGACCTAAGATATGTAACGACTATGCAAAGGGACTATCCCCAAAAAATACATCAATCATAGTTGGGACGTAGTGCTGAAGTCGGCCGCGCGCTTTTTCAACCCCCTCAAAAGGGGAGAAACACATCAATTAATCACTGGTCAATGGGAATTCCAGAATACTAAAATGACGGTACCTACGATATATAAGGCCTATGTAAGGGCTATATAAGGGGATATACACCCAATTTCTATGGCTTTATATGGTACAGTACCTCTATTTTAGGATCCTGAAATTCCCATTGAATTTATATAAATATAAATATTATTTATATGGTACAGAGTGTGGTACAGTACCTCTATTATTATATCCAATATAATCCCACTTATGATATAATCCCACTATCATGGAATTTTTGGATATTTCACCAACAATAATTCTTATTGGATAACATCTAGAAGGATTCTAATATTCACTATTGAAGGATTATTATTCAATATGTTCGTGGGATTTTGATTATCATTATTATCGGATATTCACTCTATAATCCCACTATCATCATTGTTGGATTCTAATCCCACGAAAATATGTTTCACAGCCCCATTGCATGGTGTCATGTGTGGACTTCATCCCCTACATCCCGAGCTGCTGATGAAGGGTCCGGAGGCGATTTTTTTGGAGTGATGCGATTCGTCTAAACATATTCAACATGATAACCATCAGAGACAAGAAAACTACGAACTATAACTGATAACTCATAACTCGTAAGAATAAACTATGAATTAGATTGGTCATACTGGGGATGTGTCAAAACCTATACCCTCTGGTAATTCAACGTAGCTATTGAACATGGCCATAGAAATAGTTGATTTTCCCAGCTACAAAATGGTGGATCTTTCCATAGCTATTTGTTAACGTTTACCAGAGGGTAGTCCCATATACAATCCCATATGCAATCATGTCCTTTTGGTAAAAATAGAGGGGCCGGGAGCTGGTATACCATCTATCATCATAGAAACCTGTTCTTAAAGGGGTTTCTTCAACCCCCTCTATGAATCAACCAACCAATGGGAAAAGGACATCTATGCCCATATGTTTCGTGATTCACATCTATTTACCACCGATTTGATGTTCAAAGGTAGGTGTTTTCCCGCGGTTTTCCCGGTCCTGGGCAGCTTCAAGAGGCTGCTTGTGTCCTGGACCACCGAGGTGATTTTACAACGACTAAGCTATAAATATACCTATGTATACATCTATAAAGTTATCCCTCTACATATGTTTTGCAAACTAAGTACAGTAACCCCTATACAGCCCTATACAGTAAATATCTTTAAATGGAGATTTATAGCTGTGAGAATCATCTATAAAGACTGGAATTTCCTCTCATTTTTGTGTATACAAAAAAAACCTCTACTAAACATAAAATAAAAGTTACTAAGCGTATTCTAGAGTAAGTTAAAACCTCTATATTTATGTATGTGTATATATATATATACACACATATGTTGTATTATTTGTAAATAAAGAAACATAGATCTACTTACAATTACTTATATCTACTATAACCAACATACTTATCTACTACTGGCTTACTTACCCAGGTGCTGTCTCACCGTATGCGCCAGTCCCTGAGCTTGGCTGAGGTTTTCCAATGAAAATCCGCCATGTAAATGTCATCGTGTCATCCTGGATGATTTAATGAATAATGATGGTACTTCAGAATATCATTTAAGATGATATATATATAATATAATATATATATATAAAATTTGATATGTTTTAGCCAAAATCGAAAGGCAAAGAAGCAAAGTCACTGCAAAAACTAAAGGGACTTCTGATATTGAAGGAAAACTTAAAGACATTAAAGGGACTGCAAAAACATGTTTCCGATTCAGAAGGGGCCTTTTGAGGCTGATAGCTCCCGGTAGAAGCTTTGCTTGACCTCAGTTGTCAGTCGGTGACAACTATCTGTAAGACTTGGCATGTTTTGGCATGGCTTTCAACTACCAACCACCTATTGGAAAATAATGAGGTAAACAGGATACACTATATTTATTATGTACCTCTTCATTTTGGGGCACAATATTCTCGGACAAAGTTGTTTGCGACAACAATCCGTTGATATCTTGTTTTTGACGAACCGTTCACCAGTTGGTAAACAATGATCGTTGGTTGAACTTGGTTCATCATCATCGCAGGATCCATAGCACCAACATCCACCAATGGTTCCAGTCACAAACCACCGGTTGGGTACATGAGCCTGGCTGGTGGTTTGCGAGGAATTGGAACTATATCAGCAGGAAATGGGAGGAGGCTGTCACCCAACCCTAAAGAAAAACAAGAGACACTTGGTGTTTTGTCGACCTCCTGCTGCCTAAAAACATAGTTTTAGTGGGATACAAATCTGGTTGGTGGCTTCAACCAACCCCTCTGAAAAATGATGGAGTGAGATCATCAGTTGGGATGATAAAATTCCCAACTGTTTCTGGAAAATCATCAAGTTCCATGGTTCCAGTCACCACCAACCAGATATATTGTTATTCCAATGATTAACCATTATTAACCATAGATGAACCATAGATTCAGCATAGATGTCGTTGGGTTCCATATAGGTTAACCAAATATCTCGTTAACCACTATTAACCACTATTAACCACTATTAACCACTATTAACCATATTGGGACTGGCTAACCACCAGCCAGATATGAATATTGGTGATTGCTATGGTAATTTCTATGGTGATTTAACGGTGATTTCTATGACACCGTTCGGTAGTCACAAATTATTAGTGTTATATAGCCATGGTTTCTATCCCCACTTTAGAGCATTTTAGACGGTTTTGCAATGTGGTTAAAGCATGTTAAACCCACCATCTTTTTGTAGTCCATCGTCTCCCCAAATCACTTTATTAAAGCCTCCCCAAATACCGATGGATGCGTTTCATTCAAACGGTGACGGCTTGAAAAAATCCTCGCCGGCCCGAACCCAGGCGAATCAGAAAAAGAGCGTCCCCTGGCAACGCGTAAAAACTATCTGGTTAATGGTGATTCCAATCACAGAATTGGATGACGGGAACATTTACAGGAAACGCCTATATTTGATTGCAAAAACCATGGTTTCCGGTTAAGATTTTCCCTTAAACAAATCCATTGATCCAAGGACTGTCTATATGGAATATGGTGATCTAATGAATACCATATTTTGGTAAACAATACAACTGGTTGGTGGTTTTAACCATCTTGAAAAATATGAAAGTCAATTTCGGAGGGATTATCCCATATATTATGGAACATAAAAAATGTTCCAAACGACCAACCAGATAGTGTTTCTGGTACCTTAAGAATTGAAAAATCTACACGGGAAAGTTTTCACTGTCTTTTTACCATCAAATTCCTGGGGGGCGGGTTCCTGCAAATTGTCCCTGAAACCGATCCATAATGGTCCGCTGGTGCCTTGGCTATCCACCATGTCATTGGCTGGTTTTCACCTTCCCCTGCATGTTGGGACACAACCAACAAAAAACATCACTGAATTCACCTAGTTATAAGAATTCACCTAAGTATAAGAATTATAACAGTCCCAACATAGCATTTGCGCCATTCGCCACAACATAGCATGTTGACTTATGACTTATAACACTGAAAGCAACAGGTGTGGCGCCCCAGAATTCACCTAGGCTAATGCGGCTGGGCCTCACCTTGCAATATCAAACATGCTCTCAATTGTTCCCAACATGTGGTTTCTTCCCCTGCTTCCACCACAGTTTCTGAGGGGGGTCTGCACCACCCTTTTTTATGGTAGCTGTTCCCTCCCAAAACAAGAAGAAGAGAAGATGATGAAACAACAACAACAACAAAAACAACAACAACAACAACAACAAGAGCAAAACAACAACAACAACAACAAAAACAACAACAACACCAACACCAACAACAACAACAACAACACCAACACCACCAACACCACCACCAACAACAACAACAACAACAGCAGCAACAACAACAACCACAACAACAACAACACCAACAACACCAACACCAACAGCACCACCACCACCACCACCAACAACAACAACAACAGCAACAACCACAACAACAGCAGCAACAACAACAACACCAACACCAACAACACGAACACCAACACCATCAACACCACCACAACCAACAACAACAACAGCAACAACAACAGCAGCAGCAACAACAACAACAACCACAACAACACCAACACCAACAGCACCAACACCAACACCACCAACACCACCACCAACAACAACAGCAACAACAACAACAGCAGCAACAACAACACCAACACCGACAACACCAACACCAACACCACCAACACCACCACAACCAACAACAACAACAGCAACATCAACAGCAGCAACAACAACAACAGCAACAACAACAACACCAACACCAACACCAACACCACCAACAAGAACAACAACAGCATTAACAACAACAGCAGCGACAACAACACCAACACCAACACCAACACCAACACCATCAACACCAACACCACAAACACCAACACAAACACCAACACCAACAACACCAACAACAACAACAACAGCAACAACAACAACAACATCAACAACAACAACAACAGCAACAACAGCAACAACAGCATCAACAGCATCAACAGCATCAACAGCATCAACAACAACAACAACAACAACAACAACAACAACACCAACACCAACACCACCACCACCACCACCAACAACAACAACAACAACCACGACGTGTATATATATATATATATTATTTTTATATATTTACCATCAGACTGATAAATCCATCGCCAGGAGACCGGCGGGAATTGGGAAATGGGCCCGAAGTGCCAGAGTTCGTGGACATTTTGCTGGAGGCTCGACTCGAAGGTGCCTAGAGCCGGCTCGAACGGATGGAAAAATCATGGGCGTCGCAAATGTCTACAGCTTGGAATTTCATGCTTATCTTAACTGTTATATCATGCATATGTATACGTGTATATATATATATACATAATGTATAGATAATATATACATATGTATATATTGCTCATTCCAGGTACACATTGTTGAATGACATGTTCTTTTTGGTGCTTGAATGCATCACTACAAACGTCAACATTGAGCCTGGAGCGTGCGGTGAATATGAAGAGCCTACCTTCCGATTTCTCGTCATGGCCAAACGAACTGGAACATGAACCTACCAAACCAGGCTTTACCTAGTAATTGCATATATATATATATATATCAAATAGTATGGCATGGGAATGATCAAATGTATATATGGGAAAATAGCCTCTGGTAAACTAACATAGCTATTAAAATCATCATTTTGAAGAACGGTAAATCAACGAACTAAATGGGCCATCTTCAATAACTATGTAACAAAATACCAGAAGTTATTGGGAATTGGGAATCTTCTATACTGCGTTCAAATAAATTCTTGGCACGTTCTGTTGCTCAATGGTTCCCCTACCAAAAAATCGATAACCATTGAGCAACCAAGCATCAGTTTAAATCACTTACAGTTAATATCCGTTTTAAAGCTTCGTACTCCGCCATGTTTGACCCGCTTTTGGAACCAGGTGATGTATCCCATCAGTGTAGTATAATACACTGTTCAGGTAGTTGTGAATCTTCAGACTCATCTGAGCCACCATCACTTGGTTCATGGTGATCATCGTCTCCACGAACAATTCTGGGGTCTTGAAAAATGGGAACATCTGGTACATGTTGTTCAGGAACATGTGCAGCAAGCAAAGAGAGTCCATCTTCATCGTCTTCGCAATGATAGTACTCTGCAAAAACTTGTGCACGTGAGTGAGGAACTCCAAGCTCATGTGGCCACTTCGTCATAAGGAGGTCGTTCTGCGATCCCACATACAGCTCGACCTGCTTCTCGAAATGAACATTGTGAAGCTTTGATCGCCTGGTGCCATTGACAAGATGAACTCGAGTGTCATGAAAGAGTGAATCCATGTCGTACGCTAGGTCCAGTGCATCAATGCTGGCTTTCCGTTTTTTTTTCTCACTTGGCCGCTCTGAGAAAGAGTCGTTCCAGTTTTCCAACTAAGGTTTTCGAGCGGTACAACTCCTCAGTGAGCTGGGACATCCATTGTCGAAACTGCACGGTTGCACGCCGTCGCAGCCGCTGAGCTGGGACATCTCTGGATGATGACAAAAAATGTTTAAATGAATGGAAAAATGAAACTCATGTTCCAAACCACCAGATATCCATTTATATGCCATAAAATGCCTGGTGTTCCACATGTCAAAATTGAAGCCATCGATAAAAACCAGATCATCAGCGAGATTCTGCTCGACTGGTCATCTGGGATCATCATTCCAAACGTGGTTGGTTGGATAAACAACACATATTTGAAACCACCAACCAGTTGTACAATGTGAGGCCCCCGTTGGATAGCTAAGTTGGTTTATAACTCCAATAACTATGGTTTATGGTACTTATAACTATAGTTGCTGGGGCTTATTCACCAACCTTTAACTCGGGGGGGCCACATTGTAGATTTTGGTTACCCTCTGGTAAACATACAAACAACTATAGAACATCAGCATTTTGAAGAAGAAAAAAAAACGAACTAAATGGCTCATTAACTCAGAGGCTATGTAATAAATTTCCAGAGGGTATACATCCAATTATGCCCAATGATTCCCAAAACCTGTATATACCCATTTAATACCCTGGGGAATTGTTTTTGGGCATGAACAATGATGATATTTTTTGGGGTTTTATCCAGAGGGGACATCCATTGTATAGAACAAGGTGGGCCAGAGAACCCAAAAGCAAGACGGCGCATAGCACGCCTTTTTTTGAAAATGTTGTGGTGTGGGCAGCTGTGCTCCGGACGAAATCGATGTAAGATCTTCACTGAAGCATCGTGCGCACTGGTGGTATCAGGGGCCACAATTCACCACAGCATGCTGTGTCAGCTACGTCTACATTCTTCTAGTCGCTATTGCTGCTAATGTAATTGTATAATTTTATCCCATCTTTCTAAGTCGCTATTTATTTTTGGGTTCTCGTTGAGTTTGCTTCGCCGCAAAGGGAGCGAGGACGAAGCATGGACGGACAGAACACCGTGCGACATGAAAACTAAACGACGGAGGGAGTTGACCAAAAGAGCGTAAAAACGAAGATATGAAGGTGACACATGAAAAATTGAGACATGATGAAAGATGGGTAAGGACTTCTCTGTACAAAAGCTTGTTTGCATAAAAGTTTCTGTATGTAAAAACTTCTGTGGGCAAAAACTTCTCTGTGTAAAGGTTTTTTTTGCGTAAAAGCTTCTGTGCACAAAAAAATCTGAGTAAAACGTCCTCTGTGTGTAAAAGTTTCTGTCTGTGAAAGTTTCTTTGCGTACCAGCTTCCGTCTCTAAAAGCTGCTCTGTGTTGAGGTTTTGTTGTCTGTTTGTGAAAGTTTCTTTGCGTACCAGCTTCTGTCTCTAAAAGCTGCTCTGTGTTAAGGTTTTGTTTGTGTAAAGCTTCTGTGTGCAAAAGCTTCTCTGTGTAAAAGACTTCTCTGTGTCAAAGCCTCTGAGTGTACAAGCTTCTCTGTGTGAAAGTTTCTCTGTGTAAAAGCTCCTCTGTGAAAAAGCTACTCTGCGTAAAAGGCTTCTCTGTGTAAAAGCCTCTGAATGTACAAGCTTCTCTGTGTGTAAGTTCCTCTGTGGAAAAGCTACTCTGTGAAAAAGCTGCTCTGTGTAAAAGGCTTCTCTGTGTAAAAGCCTCTGTGTGTGCAAGCTTCTCTGTGTGAAGACTTCTTTGTGTAAAGATTTCTCTGTGTAAAAACTACTCTGTGTAAACGCTTCCCTGAGTCTCCTAAAATAGTAAAATTTAGGTCGGCAAAAATTTACGTAATTTTTTGGATTTAGGTCGAAAAAATTACGTAATTTTTTACTTAGCTTAGTAAATATTTACTATTGAAAAACATTTAGGTATATACCTAAATAGATTTAGGTATATACCTAAATAGATTTAGGTATATACCTAAATTGATTTAGGTATATACCTAAATTTTTGTCGTGTTTTTCACATAGATACGTTAATACTTTTTGATTGATTTTATTGTTGTTTTTAAAGTTTTTGCTGTTGGTTTTTTAACAATTTGAATGGTATGTCTTGTTGGCACTGTTCAATTGTAATACTGCTTTACATGTTTTATTTTGGTTTGATTGTGGTGATGGCTGTGTGTTGATGATATTTTCTTTCTGATGAACATGTTTGTTTTCTATTTGCTGCTTTCCCTGTTGGACTTGCGTATGTTACTTGAGCTTTTTTGTACTTGGGCATGTTAGTTTTGTGTGGTTATTTGCTGGTTATTTTTGGGACCTGTGTGTGTGTTACTTGAGCTTTTTGCACTTGGGCATGTCCGTTGTGTGTTTACTTGTGCATCTTGGATTTTGCTTTCGATTCCTTATATTAGGGGTACTGGTTTGTGTTTGTTTGAACTTGTTCTTTGATGTTTTTTACTTGCGACAACTGTTTTACTTGAGAGATGTTTCTGCTACTTGTGTGGTGTTTTTGTGTCTACTGGTTTTTACTTGAGCATGTCCAAGTGTAAGTTGCAGTCTGTGGGTCTTTTCCATGGGTAGAATTTGCATTTCAATATTGGCTCAAGTAACTCATGTTTGACTCATATTTTTTTCTAGTTGGTCGTCATTTTGGCCTTGTGGGCATTGAAGCCTTTGTAGAAGGTCTTGGCCTTCCTTTGACTTGGGGCATGGCTGTACTAGATGTGTTATTGCTGTTGTTTTCTATGTTTTTATTGCAAACCAAATCTTCACTGATATCCTTATGCAGTTTTTGCTCTTTTTTTGCACTTGTTATGCGATTTTTGTGCACTTGTTGTGCACTTTTTTGCACTTTTTATGCATTTCATATGCACTTTTTATGCATTGTTTATGCACTTTTTATGCACTTTTTATGCACTTTTTATGCACTTTTTATGCACTTTTTATGCGCTTTTTAAGCGCCCTTAAAAAGCGGATAAAAAGTGTATACACTTTTTACAAAAGTGTATGCACTTTTTATGTGCTTTTTAAAAGCGCATAAAAAAACGCATAAAACGTGCATAAAAAATGCATGATGATTTTGACCAAATTTACAAAAAATAACACAGAACAACATCAAAACCAACCAAATTACACCAAAACCAGTGTACTTTCATTCGAGTATAATCACCAATATCGCAGAAACATCAAAACCTAATATGATTTTTAGCTTAGTTCATATCAAGGAAATCAGTGAAGTACCTTGCATGTTCAATAGAATACAGGTAGCACAAGTAAGACAATTGGTGTGGCAAATCCTCAAGTAATAAAAAGTAATCTGCAAAGGCCTTCCATTTTCTCAAGTGCTTATGTAGAAAACAGAAACCGTGCAATATCTCCAATTCCCTCAAGTAAGATATGTTTTGCTTCTTGTGCCAAACCTGAACCGGCACAACAAGCAAAAACACAATGCCCATCTTTATTTTTTGCAGAAAATCACCCAAATGGCGTTTTTTTTTCTGATTGCACCGCACCTGGCCCGATACTATTCTTATACAAGAGCACCAGACCTGACTTGGTACAAAAAGCAAAAACACGACTACAATATGTAACCAGCCAGGACCCCAAGTAACACTCAAGTAAGGCATGGTCTACAAGTAATCAGCCAGGTCCTCAATACACTAGATGGTGATGGCAAAAAAATGCACCAGTGATTTCACTTGAAACCACTTACTTGAGTCTTCTTACTTAAGCCATTATATTTGAGCATTGTCTTGAAGTCCTTTTGCTTAAAAACATCTTCACTGAGTACAAGTTCCTTGGGCATGGTGAGCTACTTTCTTACATGATCATTTTATTTACACCTCAAACTTGTACCAAAAAAAGAACAAATCATAAACCTGAATGCATTGATTCCATCTCAAAAATAATAGATTTCCAAAACATTTGTTAACTAGTTTTGTATGTTTTTCAACAAAAACAAATACAAAAAACAGCTTCCAAAAAATGAAGAAAAATTAGGTATAAACCTAAATTGATTTAGGTACATACCTAAATCAATTTACTAATTTTGATTTTTTAAGCTTTTTTAAAACCTAAATTCTTCGATTTACGTAAATTTTGAAAATTAGTAAATTTCCTATTTTTGGAGACCCAGGGTTCTGTGTGTAAAAAACCTTTCCTGTGTAAACGCCTCCGTGTGTAAAGACTCCTCTGTGTAAACCCGTCTGTGTGTAAAAGCTCCTTTGTGTAAAGTTTTTTTTGTGTAAAAGCTTCTGTGTGTAACAGCTTCTGTGTGTAAAAGTTTCTATGTGTAAAAGCTTCTGTGTGTAAAGGTTTCTGAGTGTAAAAGCTTCTGTGTATTAAAAAACCTTATTTAAAAGCTTCTGTGTAAAAAAGCTCCCCTGTGTGTACAAGCTGCGTAAAAGCTGCTCTATGTAAAAGTTCTGTGCGCCGTACAGTTGTCCGTTTGTAAAACTTCCTGTGTGTGTGTGAACGCATCTGTGTGTACCAGATTCTGTGTGCAAAAGCTCCTCTGTGTAAAGACTTCTCTGTGTAAACGCGTCTGTGCGTAAAGGCCCCTCTGTGTAAAGATTTCTCTGTGTAAACGCGTCTGTGCCTGAAAGCCTCTCTGTGTAATCTCTGTAAGACTTCGCTGTGTAAAAGCTATTTTGTGCAAAAGGTTCTGTGCGTAAAAGGCGTCTGTGTGCAAAAGCTCCTCTGTGTAAAGGCTTCTCTGTGTAAACGCGTCTGTGCGTAAAAGCTCCTCTGTGTAAAACTGCTCAGTGTACAAAGCTTCTGTGTAAAAGCTTTCCTGCGTAAAAGTTTTCTTGTGCAAAAGCTTCTGTGTGTAAAAACTTCTCTGTGTAAAGGCTTTTTTGTGTAAAAGCTTCTGTGTGTACAAGCTGCTCGGTTTAAAGTTTCTGTGCACCGAAGGAGCGTCTATTTGTAAAACCTTCTGTGTGTAAACGTGTCTGTGTGTAAAAGCTTCTGTGTGTAAATCTCCTTTGTGTAAGGACTTCTCTGCGTAAAAGCTCCTGTGTGTCAAGACTTCTCTGTACAAAAGACTTCTCTCTGTAAAAGTCTCTGTGTGTACAGGCTTCTCTGTCTCAAGACTTCTCTGTGTAAAGACTTCTGTGTAAAAGCTACTCTGTGCAAAAAAACTTCTGTGCGTAAAGGCTTCTGTGTGTAAACGCGTCCTTGGGTCAAGACTCCTCTGTGTAAACGCGTCTCTGTGTCAAAGTTTCTGTGTAAAGGCTTTTTTGTGTAAAAACTTCTGAGTGTAAAAGCTTCTGTGTGTAAGAGCTTCTCTGTGTAAAGGCTTTCCCGTGCAGAAGCTTCTGCGTGTGCAAGCTTCTCTGTGCGTAAACGTTTTTTGTGTGTAAACACTTTGTGTGCAAAAACTCCTGTGTGTAAAGACTTATCTGTGCAAACCCGTCTGTGCGTAAAAGCTCCTCTGTGTAAAAGCTCCTCTGTGTAAGACTTCTCGGTGAAAGAAGTTTCTCTGTGAAAAAGCTTCTGTGTGTAAAAGCTTTCCTGTGTAAAAGTTTCCTTGTGCAAATGCTTCTGTGTGTAAAAACTTCTCTGTGTAAAGGCTTTTTTGTGAAAATGCTCCTGTGTGTAAAAGCTGCTCTGTGTAAAAGTTTCTGTGCGCCGTAAATGCTTCTTTGTGTAAAACTTCCTGTGTGTAAATGCGTCTGTGTGTACAAGTTTCTCTGTGTAAAACTCCTTTTTGTAACTCTGTGTAAAGACTTCTCTGTGTAAAAGCTACTCTGCGTAAAGCTTCTGTGTGTGGAGGCTTCTGTGTGTAACGCATCCGTGTGTAAGCACTCCTGTGTAAACGTGTCTGGGTGTAAAAGCTTTTGTGTTTAAAAGCTTCCATGTGTAAAGCCCCTCTGTGTGTAAACGTTTCTGTGCGTAAAAGCTGCTCTGTGTAAAAGTTTCTTTGTGTAAAAGCGTCTGTGTGTAAAAGCTCCTCTGTGTGTACAAGCTTCTCTGTGTAAAAGCTCCTCTGTGTAAAGACTTCTCTGTGTCAAAGCCTCTGCGTGTACAAGCTTTTCTGTATAGCTTCTCTGTGTAAAAGACTCTGTGTGTGCAAGCTTCTCTGTGTGAAGACTTCTTTGTATAAAGACTTCTCTGTGTAAAAGCTTCTGTGTGTAAAACCTTTCCTGTGTAAAAGTTTCTCTGTGTAAAATTTTCTGTGTGTAAAGTCCTCCCTGTGTACAAGCTTCTCTGTGTAAAAGATCCTCCGTGTAAAGCTCCTCTGTGTAAAAACATCTCTGTGTAAAACCCGTGCCAACAGCTCCGCATTTTCAGTGCCGCTCCCTCCCAGCAGAGCTCTTCCCAAGCTATTTCCCCACCTGTCCGTTCACGCTGGTGCATATCCTATGCTTGGGTTATCGTTTAATCTGCTTCGCTGCAAAGGAGCAAAAACAAAGCATCGACGGACAGAACGCCGAGCAAAATGAAAACCCCTCCAGCAAAGAACTTTTTTCCATACATTTCCGGCATGTCCCTTTGCCCAGCGTTTAGACACCGTTTGAAAAGTCTTTGGCACCAGTTTTTCGGAACAATCGTGTTGATGGAATTTGTCCTGAAAAATCCGTGCCAACAGCTCTGCTCTTTTAGTCTCGCTCCCTGCCAATGAAGCTATGCATGTCCCATGGGCCAGGGTTTGGAAACTTTGGCAGGTCTTGGGCCTTGGGCGCACAGTTTTTCGTAACAATCGTATTGGTGAAATTTGTCTTGAAAAACCCGTGCCAACAGCAGTGCATTTTTAGTGTCGCTCCCTGCCAACGAAGCTATGCATGTCCCATCGCCCAACGTTTGCAAACCACTTGGAAAGTCTTGGGCGCACAGTTTTTCGGGACAATCGCATTGATGGAATTTGTCCTGGAAACCCGTGCCAGCTCTGCTTCTCAGTACGTCGCTTCCTCCCAACGGAGCTCTCCCCAAGCTATTTCCCACGGTTTCCCCTCCGTCCACCCTCTCGTCGCTTCCGTATCGCTCCTTCCCAACAGAGCTCTCCTCATGCTATTTCCCGCGGTTTCCGTCCGTCCACCTTGTCGTCGCTTCCGTATCGCTCCTTCCCAACGGAGCTCTCTCCCCATGCTATTTCCCACGGTTTCCCCTGTCGTCGCTTCCATCCCCCTCCTTCCACACGGAGCTCTCCCCAAGCTATTTCCCACGGCTTCCTTTCCGTCCACCCTCTCCTTCTCTTTTTTCCGGTTCACGGGCCGCAGTGACTTCGCCATGGCACGCTGTCTGCAACTGCGTGGCTGCCACTGTGCCGAAACTCTGCAGATTCTTGCAGTTTCCCGACCCAAACAAAAAAGAAAACATGGAAAAGAAAGAAAGCAAAGACGCTGCAGACATCGAAACACGGAGAACCCAAAAGCGTTTCCCATGCATGTCCCATTGCCCAGCATTTGGCATCAATTTCACAAGTCTTATAGGCGCACACTTTTTCAGAAGAATCCCATTCATGGAATTTGTCCCTAAAGCACGGTGCCAAAAGCTCTGCATTTTAGTGTCGCTCCCTCCCTACGCAGCTCTCCCCCAGCTATTTCCACGGTTTCCCCTCCGTCCACCCTCTCAACGCTTCCGTATCGCTCCTTCCCAACAGAGCTCACCCCATGCTATTTCCCACGGTTTCCCCTCCGTCCACCTCCTCGGTAGCTTCCATCTCGCTCCTTCCCCACAGAGCTCTCCCCAAGCTATTTCCCATGGTTTCCCCCCCGTCCACCCTATCGTCGCTTCCGTATCGCTCCTTCCCAACGGAGCTCTCCTTCCCACCGGAGCTCTCCCCCAAGCTATTTCCCACGGTTCCCCCCCGTCCACCCTCCTTCCCACCGGAGCTCTCCACCAGCTATTTCCCACGGTTTCCCTTCCGTCCACCCTCTCGTCGCTTCCGTATCGCTCCTTCCCAACACAGCTCTCCCCAAGCTATTTCCCATGGTTTCCCTTCCGTCCACCCTGTCATCACTCCCGTATCGCTCCTTCCCACCGGAACTCTCCCAAAGCTATTTCCCACGGTTTCCCCCCGCCCACCCTCTCGTCACTCCGGTATCGCTCCTTCCCACCGGAGCTCTCCCCATATTTCCACGGTTTTCCCTCCGTCCACCCTTTCGTCGCTTCCGTATCGCTCCCTCGCGACAAAGTGACTAAACGAGAACCCAAGCATCGGAGATGCTTTTGGGAAAAAACATTTTATGCCCAAACAAATTCCCCAGCCTAGATGGTTCAATCCCAATCCCAATGTTAAAATGCTTTCGCTAGATCAAATCTCGAGAGAGTCCTATAAATCCATTGATGTAATGAAAATTGTAACATAGCTATGTATACCTGTGTAAGTTAACGTTCCTGCTTTTTTATCGGTTATAGTCCTATATAGCTATGTAATGACATTACAACATCCCTAAAAGATTTATAGCAAATTGTAAATGATATAGATGGGATGTATGATATAGTCCTAAAAATCCTATAACTCCTATTTATGATAAGTACCTATAAGATCATATGAAATTCCCACCTTCCAATGACGTGTCCCCATCACTGCACCGCCTCCACATCACAGCAGGGAGAATTGGAAGCTCCAGGATCTGCATGAAGGCGTAATACTGGAGCCATGGCAAATTTCGGTTTCCTGCAGCCGGAAGCCAACCAGGAATCAATGGCCATGCAACAGGATCCGATTGATTGGAGGTACCGGTTCCATATATAAGGCCTATTTTTTAGGGCTATGTAAGGGGATATCCCCCCAAAATATGACCATGGTACTAACGTACCTCCATTTTAGGATCCTGGAGATCTCCCATTGAAGGAATGGCCCCCATAACCTTCAAAGGTTGGTTTTATGGGTATAACTATGGTAAGTTTACCTCCATAAGTTGGGATATGGGGGCACTACAACATCTACAACTATGCGTATAAGTCACTTTACTAATGGAACTGTACCCCTAAACAACTTATGGCCATTACAATGGTGTGTCCTACTATGCAAAAATACTTGGGGAATATTCAGGAATTTGTTTCATTGTTTTATATAAAATACAATCTGGTTATTTAACATAGCCATGGAAAATCACCATTTTTAATAGGTAAACCCAGGTAAACCATCTATGAATGGGCCATTTTCCATGGCTATGTTAGTCATAACCAGAGGGTAATTATATGTAATTATCCTGAACATGGAAGACGACCAACCAACTAGACTCCATGATGTTTTTTCAAGGCTACTAGCGGCACCGCGGTTGTATGTGGTGTTCTTCTTCACCGAGACGGCCACGATAAGGTACAGCAAATTGCCCGAATATCTGCGGATAGATATCCAATGGCTCAGCCAGATTCCGGGAAATTTCCATGGAAAAACAAAACAAACATTTGGATGTGTCCTAAAATATGGGTACCCCAAAACCATGGGTTTCAATACTAAGGTAGTCTGATTTTGGATGATTTGGGGTACCCCTATTTTAGGAAACCCCCATTTGGCAAAAGGTGACAAGATGTGAACATTTGACTGGTTGAGGACATGTTTTGAGTGGTTCGTTGGTGATCCCATGACAAATCTTCACAACGTTTAGTGGGATAATGACTTAAGATATCTAAAGATCATATTGTGAAACAATTCCTTTTTTTGGGATCCAGTAATATCTTCTTTTTTGGGTGCTCTTCTACAATGTGGTGCCCCAGTTCGTTAGCTAAGTTGGTGCAAACAACTCCAATTTCACTAGGTTTTTTACTAGGAATATACATATACATATATATATATATATACGTATATAGTTACTACGGTTTATAAACAACAAACATCACTGGGGGGGCACCTTGTAAGGCCAATACCATGGACATGTGGTCGAAGCACTGTCAGAATGGGATTGGATCATTGCATCGGGTCTAATCTACAACATGAAGAGCGGATGATCAGATCCTGCAAAACAAATATCTGGATATTATTATTAATGGAATTTGAGCATCCCAACCATGGATAATCAATTAATTGATATCCCAGAAATGGAATTCCAGTTTCTGGGATATCAACCATATCTGGATACCCTCTGGTAAACGTTTACATAACTTTGGAAAATCACCATTTTGTAGCTGGGAAAATCAACTATTTCTATGGCAATTTTCAATAGCTATGTTAAATTACCAGAGGATATTATTATTAATTCAGATAATTCCAGATATTGGATCATGATAATGATAATTCGAAATCATTTAAAACTATAAGATGATGATATCTGAAATGTTTTGCACTAATTATTATGATTATCAACCTGCATATCTGGGTAAATCATAATAAGTGGGTTGATAATCATAACAATAATTCACTAATCATAATCATAATTCACTAATCTGGGTAAATCAAGCATTAAATCATAAGATTTAACTAATTTGAAATGTTGGGCTATTTTGAGATGATTCCCAGCAATCTAACCTTTCACCCAGTGAAAAAAACAGTGAGGTCCTGATCAAATTCACCCAGATCATATGTTTCAACTTAAAACCAAAAAGTTACAGGATTTATCTTGACGTTCACCTTACCCACCTGTAAATTAACAGTTCGACCCTGGCAGATAGGGGTTGGAAGATTAGTAGTTTCCATTAAAAAATGGTGATTTTCAGGGTCTATGTTTATTTACCAGAGGGTAAAGTTCCTAAATAACATGTTGGTTGCGTTGCCAAACACCGTCGCATAATGTCCTAATTATTTGTAGAGCAGAACCCCGGCCAGTTGCTGGTTGACTGGCAAGAACACGTGGCCAAAAAACAGTTCGCAGTATATTCCAACATGTGTGTGCAAACATCAACATAGAGAAACCTGGAAACAACCACTCTTGAACAGGTTGCCCCTGTGACCAATCATTTATGGTTAATATCGCTAAGAAGTCGTTATCATCTGCCCGTGTAAAACATTTGTATGCATTTATTTATGTATTTATTTATACATTTATTGATATATAATGATGTATATATATATATATATATATGAGTGTTTTCTCCAGTGGGGATAAACCCAACCCTTAGCACCAGCGCCATTTTTTCGCGAAGTTTCTCCACTTGTTCATTTTTCCGAAAGATCGATGCCATAGATCCTGGATGAAACATGCAGTCGCCCACGGCTAGGTGGCACCGTGGTTAGTAAGGGACTATAGTAACCCCAAAAGATCCAAAAAGGATACCAGTAGAAATCCAAAAAAACATACCAAAACAGTAGTAAAGTCAGGTTCTATCTTTTCGGTGCTACTGTGAAAACCCACATATGTGCCTGTCCCAAATTGGATGGACATAGAAAATTTGGCACAACGCATACAAAAGAAAACAATGTAAACAAACATCATAACAAACATGATAACAAATCGGTAAGGATTGGGTTATACTGAAAAATGTTTTCAAATAATGTTGAAACATGTTTTCAAACAATCTTGCTCAAAATGCTGTTCAAAATTGTAAAGCGCATAATAACATGTTTATATTGAAAATTGTTTTCAAACAATGTAAACAAACATGATAACAAATCGGTAAACAAATGGGTACAAATCCTCAAGTGGTTGGGCAGGTACCTTTTAGCATCTTTTAGCTGCATTTTTATCACGACTGTTCCCTGAAACAGGATGAACAAAAAACCAGGGGAAGACCGATCCAGTGTTAGATCGGACCATCCCCGGGTTTCTTACATGGCCCTTAACACTTGTAAATAATGAGACCATAATTCCTGCAAATAATGTTATGTGCCACTTCAATGATAGATAAAACAATTGTAGCTGATAAGGGCTATAATCTATAATGGTAAAGCTAATGGGGTGGGAAATAGTCCAATTTATGATTGTTCAATTTGATCAACAAAAAACAGTGTGTTTCTTCATGCGATCCCCACTGTGGCAAATATCCTGATATATATTCTTACATTCTATCTGAATGTATCTGACTTAAATATTCTGACATTTTTCTGGCATATACTCTGACATTCTATCTGGCGTTTTGCCTGGCATTCTATCTGACGTATATTCTGACATTTTATTTATTTTATCTGGCATTCCTTTCTGACATCTATTCTGACATTTTATCTGGCATTCTATCTGAAATATTGTGAAATATATATATATATATTCTGACATGCTATTTGACGTTTTTTAAAACTTACATTCTATCTGGCATGTGTTCTGGCAGTCTAACTGGCATTCAATCTGACATGTACGTCTGGCAGTCTATCTGGCATTCTATCTTACATATTTCTGGCATTCTATCTGGCATTCTATCTTGCATCTATTCTGACATATTTTTTGGCATTCTATTTGGCATCTATACTGTCCGGCGCTCACCCCACAGCGCAGCAAGAAGACGGGAGTGATGGCAGCGAGTGAAGGAAGGAGGGAGGGAGGAAGGAAGGAAGAAAGGAGGTGGAGTTGCACCATTGTTTTTAAATCTAGAGACCATCACCTGGCAGGTGGGGAATAAACATGAACCGTGGAATATCTCGCGAATCTAGCTACACGAGGATGATCAATGAGAATGGTGACCTACAGCAACCAAACAAACTGCACTGTAAGCAAAGCAAACAGGAGAACATGGGATTGAACCAACAAAATGGGACTGAACCAACAACCATCCAACATTGTAACATGTGCAGGTCACCAACAAAGAAACAAAAAAAACTGTTTTAACAAGTCGGATACCTTGACAGAACCCCAAATTGAACACATTCAACTCCAGAATGATCAGGAACCCAGGATGAAAACTATCTGCTGGTTGACATGATATTCCCTTAGCCAGAGCTACCAGGCGTGAAATTAGTGTAGCTACATGCCGAATAATGGAACAAACACAAATGATAGGCTATATCTCAAGATTCCTGATGTTTGGGCACATCGTTCAGACATTGGGTCCTCTAACGTGCCAAGTTTTCTTCCTGACGCACAAAACCACATTGACTGCCCATGCATTGTTGCCCGTGTCGCCATTTGCATTGTATGTTCTATCTCAACCTGATTGCTTGATTCCAAGCAAAATCGTTTGGGTTTGCCACTTGTCTGATTGTTTTGATCGGTGAATGAAGTTATTGCAAGCATCTATGCGATGGATTGACCTTTCGGGAACAGCCTGGTCGAGCTGGCATTTTATAACATGTGTTAGTCTGGTCTCTCTTTGATTAGTTTGTCTAAACATAGTGTGAACTCCAACTCGACAACTTATTCTGCTTTTCCTATCATTTCCAAATAGTTTCTTTGGTATGCCCAATTGAGCAGTGTTCAAAGCAAGCCTGATTACTAGCTGGCTGAGTTCTCTCAAGTGAGCAATGCTTCAGGCCCTCTGTCATCCCTCTATACTGCCTGGTTAATGCGGATTTACAGTAATGGATTGCTGTGTTCTCCAATGTATTGGTTAGTAGCAGGAAGTGTAATCCCCAACTAATCATCAATAATCCATGATTTATCAATTACACATCCCTATCTGTTGATAGTTAAACCCCTATTCAGCGTGGTAAACATTTTGGGGCGGATCGCAGTCAACGATTTCACCGCCAAGGATCGGCAGTTGAAGCAAATGACAAATATGAGCGTCACGCCGGCCTTATTTGTGGTATAAGCATGTCATGTATAAACCACTGAATGGGGACTTGCGATCACGGGTTTTTTCAACAGTTGCATCACCTAGGATGATCCTCTAACTCTAACTTGGGACTCTGTCGCTGACATTTGCATTCCGACCCCCCCATCAGTTCTACCTTGGGATTTCTGATGGCGATATCCTTACGCCCCCAAAATAATAAATATATATATAGGGAATATATATATATATTTATTCAGTTACAAACCAAATTGATTATATATAGATCCATTGTAATCCAACATGTTCGCACACTCATAAGACAACTTACCTATGACTTGGGGGGCCCACATGGCGAAACATGACTTTGATACCCCTCCCATCGGCCTTGGTAGCCAGCAACTGGGTTTGGCTACTTGGGGGCGCAGTTGAGGTTCTAAATGTGTACAGCCATGCTTAAAAACATATAATAAGCAACCCTCATAAGTTGGGATATAATCCCAAAAACTTTGGGTACATATTCACTTTGTTCACTGGAACCCACCCGAGAAATTGTTGAAACAGTCTTCTCAAAATCTCGGTTCAACACCTACCAATGGTAGAGCTGTTCTGCAGAAGGTTGAGAGTTGGTTCAATCATGGCGTGAACTTCCCTGATGCCTTCTGCCGGCGGGATGGCATAGTGTTCGTTGGACGCAATAGTTGCGTTACGTGAATGACAGGCTGTGCTCAGGGCACTTTCACCACTTTGACTTACTTTCACCACTTTGACTTCAACCTCCCGCAGAGCAATGCTGCAAGGTTGTGCTTCGACAATGTATTTTGCCATTTATGGTTTCCTGAGACAAGCTGGTTCAAACTCCATGCCTCGGACAGCTACAGGAAAGAACCTTTTCTGGGCACCTTCTGGTTGCACAGTGCGATTGAGAATGTCGCGGGAGCTTGGGCCTGCTTTGGGCATCTTTGCAAGAGAGCGTTTTCCATTGCGTGTGTCCTTGCGGCTTCAATCTGCCAATGGTGCTTGCAGTTGGATTCAGGAATCTAGGCGCGATGCCCATTTTCTGACGCATGGGTGTAAAGGCTGTGGCCAGCCTCTTGATGGATTTGTGCACCAGTTTCTGTTTGCTTGCAGCCAGCAAAGCGAAATAGACATAGAGTCCTCGCTGCAGTGTGCGATACCCTTTAGCTAAGCATCTTTTGCATACAAAATGCCCTGGTCATCCACCTGTGATTGGAAACAGGCCGGCAACAACTTCTCAAGTACATGTACCACATGCGCACCGACCCTGGCGAAGTTATAGCTGGTAGGTTGCACTGGCCACCTTGCTAACGCCGTGGCATGAACCGTTACAGGGTCCGCGCGTGAAATTGTCTCATCTTCCAGTCAAATGGTGCGAGAGTGCGTCTTTCCAGACAATTCCCAAAGCTTCATCATCAGCTCTCCCCAAAATCGATTCCATTTGAATCCAGATTCTCGCTGACTAGTCATCCAACAATTCTTCAGGCCGAATTCTAGATACCCTCCGGTGTCAAATGTGGCTAGATGGGAAATCCCGTACATGGCAGTTCATTGCTGGGAAAATCATCTACAAATCGTCGATTTTCCATTGCTTTGTTTGATTACAGAGGGTACCCTAAACCCAAAGTATCATGTTTGGCTGAGTGTGACGTTCCCCTATCTTGCAAAAACAAGAACACATCCAACCTACAGAATTCATCTTCAACGGCTTGAAAGACCCATATTGAAGCCGTTGAGGGATGATGGTCTCTGCGTGCCATGTTTGCTCATCGCCCAATCATGATCTACTTAGATGGGCCATGGAGTTAGCTAACTAGTTAGTAAATGGATTATAATTAGGATATAGAGGATTATATCCCCAGTTATTAACCAGTTAGCTAATCCCATGGCCCATCTAAGTAATCCACCAGACAACCTTCCACGTTGGTTTCTGCGGGTGTGGAGTCGAAAGGATTACTGGTTGGTGGTTGAGCTACCAACCCCTCTGAAAAATATGAAAGTCAGCCAGTTGAATTCATAAAATGCATGTTCCAAACCACCAACCAGATTATGATCTATTCTCAATTCCCATCAGCTTCAATGCCTATGATTCCTCTCCTTAACTCTCAATTTCTTGTCGATCAACGTGCCATTCAACTTGTGCTTCACCATACCCATGTTCTTTTACCCAATAGCCACAAAGTCATCACAAATCCCATGATGTCCCCATAAAGTCATTATAAATCCCTCAGCTAATTAGTTATTATAAATCCCAATGCTCATAAAGCCATGATCAATCCCCAAATTTCATTTATTGCTTTCCAAACAAATAATTGTTTCTCAAAACTGAGGTACCCAAAATACCCGGCCCGAAACCAGAAGTGTGCCCATTTGAAAATTGTAATTTTATGAAATTATCAAATGATTTTTGGTGGGTCCCTTATTCTTTTTTGAATCCCCCACAGTAAATGCTGTTTCTCCTATTACCAAAGGATACGTACTATAACCGACCCAGGTAATAAAACATGGTTTGCTGGAAACTCCCCCGTAATTATAGTTCATTGATTTTCCCAGATGTAAACCTTCACTAATAATGGATTTCCTAGCCATGTTTGAAAAATGGATTAGGTTCGCATGAAATCCCCAGTATGGTTGGTTCAATATGATAGTTAAATAACCCTAAAGTCAAATTTAATCCCAGCCATGTTTAATTCCAGCATAAGTAATGCGCAAACCATGGTGAATCTTAGATGACCATGTCAAAAAATCTATGGTATTGCTCGTTATATATATATATTAATATGGTTACTATATTATGTTGCTGGCTATATGGTATTTTAACAAATCTTAACTTAGCCACCTTTGTATTATCACCATTTTACCAGTGATCATACGAAGGTTGACCTCCCAAAGCCTTCGCCATTGATTTTGACATGTTGACCTAGTCGCAATGCCACATGCAGCGATCACGGCGATCACCACCACGTTCATATCAAGCGCCTGTGACAGGCAGCATAGGCCTACATGGTGAAACCTTCCCTAGCTAGAAGTATAGCTATAGTAGAGCAGGTTACTTGCAATACTGTAACATGATGTAACTATACTACTAGACTTTGTACAGTGGGTAAATCTCCGATAAACTATACCCTTCAAATTGTCGCTTCTATTCCTCCTATATTCTATATTCATTATTCATAAAATCTCCAATTAAGGCTAGTTTTTTGTGGGCGAAGCCTCCATTGACCCAGAATCCAAATCATCATAAATCAACTATAAATCACCATATTTCATCATTTCCCAGCTGAAATCACCATCTTTTTCTCCCAAAATCACTAGTCGATGACATTTGTTGACTCACCGCCTGGTACTCATCCTCCACCTCCGGCCTTGTTGTGAATCACCTGCGCCTTCGGCGCCGCCGTGGGCGTCGCCAACGAAAAGCCCGGCGGCAGCGCGGAGCCGCTGGAGCCGCCGGAGCCGCTGGAGCTGCTGGAAGGCGAGCCGCCGGAGGATGACGAGCCGCTGCCGGAGGGTGACTCACCTAAACCACGGAAAAGCCATGGACAAAAACTGGGAAAATGAGAGAATTTGTGGGAGAAACTTGCAAAAAACTTGGAAGATGTGGGAGACATGATGAGACATGTAAGAATAAGTAGTGAAACAACAAGTGTGATGGGAACCATCAAAACGTCAGATTTCAACAGCAAGAAAATCAACAAAACCGGTTAAACCTTGGCAATGGGAATATCTTCAAAGACCTTTGGGGGGATCTATCATAATCTATCTACACAAGGTGGGCCCCTTAGCTAAGTTGGTGCAAATAACTCCAAGAACCACGTTTTAGAGCAGATCTATCTATTTTATACTTGGGTTTTCTTTATAGGGGTTTACCACAAATAAAACCTATTCCAAACGGTGAATTTCTCAAAGAGAAAATTGAAAACAACCTAATTAAACCCAGGTATGGTTACCCTCTGGTAATCTGTTACACAGCTATTGAAAATAGCCATTTATAGTGGAATTTCCCATTAAACATGGTGATTTCCCATAGTTATGTAAACGCTTACCAGAGGGTAATGGGGGTCTGTCAATCAACAAACATTTCACAGGGCAACACACTGCGGGATGGCTGGAATGTTGCAGCACAATGTGGCACTGCGTGAAATTTCCATTTGTTTCCTCAACCGTGGCCGCAAATCCTTAGCTAAGTTGGCTCGTAACTCTGTAAACTAGGGTGTTTATGGTGATTACAGCTTTGGTTGATGGGCTTTGTAAGTTAACTTGGGGGCACCACATTGATCCACATCAAGTACTTTTTAAAGCTTCAGGCATCCGATCGTGACGCTTGGTTGGCACCTAATATTCAAACGCAGGCACATTGGACTAACTAAGCGCTTCCACATTCTATGAGTCAACTGATCGATGGCGGTCTATCCCATCTCCATATCATTGTACTAAGTTGAAAACGGTTTTCCTTCCATAGGTTAGTTCATAGTCCCCAACCACATCAACCAGGACATTCGAGAAATTGCTGACATGTACCCTCTGGTAATTTAACATAGCTATTGAGAATGACAATAGACATAGTGGATTTATCCATTGAAAACGGTGATTTTCCATAGTTATTTTAGTTTACCAGAGGGTATTTGGTAGATACTTCTGGCAAATCATGTTGTATGATGCTGTCTTCCGCTAGAAGAGATACTCGCAAACATCACCGTGTCCACCTCGCACGAGCACAAAAAACCCATCAGATATCAGTTCCCAAAAAAAAGGTTGATGATGGGATTACCAACATGTTCTTAAAAGTTTCATGTTTATGATTCCACAATAATAAAGGTGGTTCTTAACCACAAAAAATTGTATACAAAGAAGGCTTTGTGTTGAAGTTTTCATTGTTGTGATTCCACAATAAATAAACAAAAACCATCAAAAACCTTAAAATGGGTTATAGTTATATATATATGGATTTTTTTAACCACTATCAACCCCAACAATATTGGCTTACTACTTGGTGCTTCATCCCACCAATCATATACCCTCTGGTAAACTAAGATAATTATGGAAAATCACCATTTTTAATAGAGAAATCAACGAACTAAATGGCCATTTTCAATAGCAAACTGTCACAAATTACTACCAGTAGAGTGTATAAGTAGTAATTTGTTGAGTGGATTTACCATTTTCAATAGCTTCGATCCTATCAATAGCTTAGTTCAGCTCCAGTTGTTTGAGTGGATTCACTACGATTCACCCTACACTGGATGAAACTCAACAGGAAGTCACCGTCGATCTCTCCCACTGGAATCTCTGAGACAGGATCAAAGGGTCGTCGTGTTGTGGCCTTGACAAAGGACCGGAACCGAGAGATGCATCCGAATTTTAAGGGCTGGGGCACAGTTCGGAATCGCAAAGTTGGTGAACATAACTCCAATAACTATGGGGTTTGTGGGGAATATAAGTATCGTTGAAGGGGATTCCAACCCCGAAATCATCCATGATATTCTCGATTTTTCGATTATAAACCATCCAGCTATTGGGGTACCCCCATTTATGTAAACCCACATGGTTAAACACATAATAGATTTTGTGTGAGATGAATATGTGGTATGTGTAAAAACACGTTATGCACATAAACCAAAACATTTCTTTACAGTAAGTGAACAATGTTCAATAACCCCCTGTCATTTTCAATAACGCGATTCCCCAGTTCATAAACTACGGTAGTCTCAAATATATTGACGGTACCATAACCCCTTTTCTCATCAACCATCACCGGTCTTGAACACGGCTCATATGGATGTATAAAGCATGTACAAATCATCTATGATTGATATCGCATCTACTTTAAACCGACAATACCCTTTGGTAATTTAACGTAGCTATTGAAACTCACCATGTTTAGGAACGGTATATCAAGTATAAACATGGGTCATTTTCAATAGCAAACTCTTAGTTTAGAGGGTAGATCAAGCTCCAAAATGTTGAGTGAAGCCCCCAGTAATGAGAGCAACAACCCAAGTTATTTACGTCAAGTTGGCTATGCACCAAACATGTAATATTGTTCTATAGCCAATTAAATAAAATATATCCTGTATAAGAACTGAAATGACAACATATTATATATATATGTTAGTAATATATGTATATATTAAAATATGAATACTTATCCACTGTCATATCATTACAATTCCAATTACAAACCAGTCTCTAGTAGTTAAGAGCATTTGTTCAATATTATATATATATATATACATACATTCCTATTGTATCATAGTAGTTAATCCCCATAAATGAGTATGAGTCAAAACCCTGCCACCCTAGGTCCCCTACAATGGCTGGGATTTATGGATGGTGATTTTTCGAAAAATAGGAATTTGATAGGTTTTGACCCATCCCCTAAATCAATCAACACATCATCAAATTACAAATTATACATTCCTATTATATGATAGTAGTTAAGCCCACATGTACATTGCCAATCTTTGCTAATTACCCTGCAAACAAATAGTTTTTCAGCTGGTTCGCAAATATTCAATTATTTATAGCAAAAAAAAGCGGATTAGCAACTACCCACCCAAGATTGACCTAGGATACAGTGCCATGAAATCACCATCTTTCTGGGTAAAATCCCAAGTTGTCATGGCTAAATCATAGCTAAACATGGCCAATCTTAGATACCCTGCAAAAAAAATAAATTCTTAGCTGGTGAACATCGATAATCCCATACCAAAAGACAAAAAATGATTGGTTTCTACCCATCCAAGATTGAGCTACAATGTGGTGCCGTGGTGCCGCATAGTTAGCTAAAGTTGGTTTATAACTCCATCCCGTTTCGCTCAGCGCGGCCCCGTTGTTGTCGTAACGGCCGCGTTGCGGGCGGCGGCGTCACCAGGATCTCCCCGGGTCGCCTTGCTGCTTCGTCGGCCGGCGAGAAAGGCGAGGCCGGCAGCGTGGTGACCATGCCTTCGAGGCGTCGAGGCGAGCCAAGGGGTAGATCCAAAATCGCTGGTGAATGGATGTTATAGAGTCTAGAAGATGTTATATAGATGATTTATAGGATTCAGCCATATTAATGTTCGCTGCTGATTAGTGTGAGGGCCCCCCCCTCAAACAATTTGAGGATACTCTATAACTCGCACTTTTTTTGCCGCCCCTCAACGATTTTTCGGTAAATAAATTTAAGTAAGGATTTCAATTTACTTTTAATTTACGTTCAATTGATTTCAATTTACTTTTAATTGATTTTAATTGATTTCAATTTACTTTTAATTTACGTTCAATTGATTTCAATTTAATTTCAATTAACTTTCAGTTTACTTTTAATTGCTTTCAATAGTTTTGTTTTTTTCACTCCCAAAAGTTGGTGCTCACAATAGAGTACCGTCCAAACAATTATATTATTCAGTAACTGAGCCAATCATGAGGTATCCTCTTGAAAAATTGTCTGGGTGCTGTTTTTTTAATAAGGGTTTAATAAGGAATCTAATTATTTAGAAAGCCTGTCATTTTAAAGCTTTAACACAAATATGGCTTTCTAAAGTAAAGGGACTAGCTTTACCCAAAGAAAGGTGGAGAAAGGGTTTTGTTTTTTTTTCACTCCCAAAAGTTGGTGCTCACAATAGAGTACCATCCAGACAGTTATATTATTCAGTAACTGAGCCACTCATACTGCAATTAATGTACTTAATGAATGAAAAAAAAAGCAATTCAAAATAAAAAAAAGGAAGCAATGAAAAAAATGCAACAGTAGGAAATAGAAATAAAAATAAAACTAGCAATACAAATAGAAAATAATAATTACATAAACATAAAAGATAAATATATAAAATAAAAACAAAAAAATATTAAAAATAAGCAATAAAGTTAAAGCATTTGGAAAAAATCCGGAAACATCTCACAATAGAGGCCCCCCCCAACAATTAGCATGTTACTGAATTGGGAGCAAGAAATTTCTCACAATAGGGTACCATCTCTTTATTCGGGTGCAAACATTATATAGGATAAATATGAGGATTATTTGATTTATAGGATTTTTTTATACAGGATTTCTAACATTTATAGGTGATTTCACCAATCCCGAACCTTGGATTCATAGAGATTTCTAAGGATTTAGCTGATGACAAGTGAAAATCATATTATTTATTTAGCTATCATATTTAGATGTGTAAAATGAGATATAATGAGATTTATATACATTTTTTAGCGTGAAAATTAGATTTCATGGGAAAAAAGTGGGATGAAGCTGATGGCTATCCAAAATTGATAGGGAAAACACATGGGATTTCATTGGGTTTACTAGCTATCTGATGGCCAGGATTCAAGGGGATGTTCTTAGAAGATCATCCAGCTGACTAACAAGCTATCAGTTGGGATGATCCTCCAAGTAGGAGCTGGTTAGTAACTGGCTTTTAGCATCTTGTAGCCCATATTCCCACTTAAACTCTACCGGGAAAACTCATGAATCGAGGACTTACCAGCCTTGCGAAGCACAATCAACTTATCTGCCGGAGATCCATGGACCAAAACACATAGCAATTAGCAAAACTGCTCTGGTTGGTGGTATACCTACCCGTCCAAAAAAAAATGAGTTGGGATGATTATTCCCAAAAGATGGGAAAAACATGTTCCAAACCACCAACCAATGCTAATTGTCCACCGTTTTTTTTTAGCCAGCCATGGCCTCTCCATGCTGTTTCCTGCTCAGGTGTGAGGCATGCACAAATGCAGCCCTCGGTGGCATAGTAAGGACCTCCTTCGCAGTGGAAGGCGCATGACCAGTAGAAGGCGCTGCCGCCACTCACATCGTTGTATCCTACTGGCTCGGAGAATGACATGACAGGAAGCCATGGTCTGACCATGGTATACAATTAATGGGATACAACATGGGGATGTATGGGATTAAAATGGATTAAACATAATTCAACTATGAATAATTGGAATATCACAAGAATAGAAGGAGGGTTATAGCCAATTTCATCCGGGATTCACGATTTAATATGGTTAGTATTTTATAGTTATCCATCCGTTGCCATGGAAATCCTTACAGAATGGATACATGCCATGCACCAACATGGGTATACAATCCAACCAACCTGTTCATGGCATAGTGGTTGCGAAAGTCGCAATGATTGCCCAGGTTATACTTAGATGGGCCATGGAGTTAGTTAACTAGTTAGTAAATGGATTATATAATTAGGATATATAGAGGATTACAACCCCAGTTATTAACCAGTTAGCTAATCCCATGGCCCATCTAGGTAACTGCATTAACCCTACGTACCTACTATAATTGGGATTACAACCCTCTTACGATTCCTGGAGTGAGCCACCAAGTATCCCCTGTAGCAGATGGATGAATATGGTTACTACCCATTGGCAATGCCTGGGATGCACTTGAACAAATGATCTACATCGAGGGTTCCAAAGCCATCGGCGATCTTAGATAAGTTGGATAAGTTGCAAAGAAATTTTGTTGTTTTTTTAGTTAGTTAGGCCAATACTAATATATCACCAGCCCCAGCACGCGATTAATAAAATATCTTATCCATGCAGGGTTTCCATTGATTTTTGTCAGCCAACTGTTTTGAGGTACCGCAAAAATTAAGAAACACGCAGATATCTGGGCTAATGACTCCCTCCCAAACATAGTACATACATGTAAATACCACCTATGTAGGGACCTCTGATGTATTATATGGGGATATGAAACATATTAGGTGGAAGGAATCATGCGGGCCACATATGTTTTAAAACGGGTATAGTAGCCACGGCATCCTGAAAAAAAAACGATATCACCACCGGTTGGATCTGTGACTTGGGATGCGTCTCACTGTAATCAAACGATAACGAGGGATAACATATATATATACATCTAGATATACGACGTATATATATATATAGAATATACATACAATATATATATATATATATAATATAGATATACGACGTATATATTACTTATTATATTGCATAATGTGGATGCCAGTCATTAATTCCCTAGAATCATGTCATTCGGGGTTGCGCTCATCAACCCTCAGCGACGACGTGAGGGGCGGATGTCAGGATGTCATTGTCATTTGACAAACATGGGAACTTCATTTAAAAGAAAACATGGCTAATCCATTGGGCATGTTAGTAAATCACTATCACATTAAACAGCACATATGCTAGAAGTCGGACCTCTCAACAAAACACATTGTTTTCCCTAGGATTCAGTTTCCTTTACCCTGCGGTAGACATATTATAGATTTATCTTGGAGACAAATTATATATTGGATGGCGGATTTTCCAAATCTATGTCAATTTAACCGTACAAATGGTTTCCAAACCCCATTGACTACAGTTGCAATCACCAAAAACCCAACAGCTAACATAGTTCTGTGGGTATCGTACATTCTTCTGCCATCTATATCTTTATGCTAATTTATACTGTATATATAATTATATATATATCTCTCTCTCTCTCTTTATGCCATACCCATCAGCCTCATCCGATCCAGTCCCATGCCCTCCTGCTTTGCACTGTGGTACCACTTTTTCATTGGAATCACCGTTCCATTGCAATTGCCGTGTTGCGACACGTAGTCGCCGCAATGGACTGCCGCCCATGACTCCCATGGCCATCAAAAGGGTCAACTTGACACCCAACATTGTGTCCCGGTGCCAAGTGGAAAAGACCCGTCTAAGACCAAGGAAAAGGGTACAGCTGACGGTGTTTTTTGGCGTCCAAAACTGCGAGGCTTTACCCGGTGAGATTTGGTGGAGAAGGCGTGAATGGAAGGTGCACAAAAAATCGAAGATATGGAAACTGGGATGCCCTGGAGAATGGATCATGGATACCCTCTGGTAATTTAACGTAGCTATTGAAAATGGCCATTTATAGTGGATTTTCGCATTAAAAATGATGATTTTCCATAGTTAATTACGTTGGTTTACCAGAGGGTATGTCAGATGTTTGAAACTTGATTCCTCATCACCATCTATGTTGGCTACTAGCCAAGCAGCAAAATGAGGCCAATTCTTGATGGTTGCTAAGCAACGCTTGATGCAGCCGCATGCGACTGTTTATGTAGAGACACCCGGCTGGGCTGGAAATGGACCTCAAGCTCAACCCGTAGAATGTGGCATATGTAGATGGATGTAGATAATTACCCTCTGGTAAACTAACATAAGTATGGAAAATCACCATTTTTAATGGGGAAATCCATTATAAACGATCATTTTCAACAGCTATGTTAGTTTGACAGAGGGAATATGTTGGCTAAAGATTCCGCAGCAAACTGATGCCCTATGGATTGTGTTGCATCTTAGGAAGCATGGCCAATATATCTGCCATACCCACGGTCTTGAAGGCAACAATCCCGTGGACGATGACGAACATGGGCAGCATGGGGCAGATGTTCCTAAAACTCACCATGGAATGTTCCAAATCTACAAAAACTGACTATAGTTGACAGTTGCTAGTTGGATAAGATCGATCTCCCATTTGCATAAACACGCATGAAACACATCTTGAAATAAAAAACAATCTTCACCGCTAGTGTGCCATACCCAACCGGATCCTGCAGTAGTTACCTGCCAACATTTCTGGGATAACATCCTGCCATTTCTCTCCACAAAGACCCTCTGTGTCGTGTCCAAAACCATGGCTCCCCCGCAAAGAGCTTGTCATCCTTCATATCCTTCACGAGTGTAACGCAACGTTGGATGGTCAATGGGACCAACCCCCAGCCATTTTTTACCATCCGGCAATTAAACCTGGCGATGGAGAATACCCCATATTTATGTGGTTGGTGGTAGACCTACCCCTCTGAAAAATATGAAAGTCAGTTGGGATGATTATTCCCAATATATGGAAATTCATAAAAAATGTTCCAAACCACCAGCAAGTTATAGCAATTTATAGATGATTTTACCATGTCCTGAATTCAAAAAGTTTTTTTTCCATTGCCACGTGAGGGATTACGGGATATGTAGGAAAACATCTTGCTGACCTCGAGTCGAATTGGTACAATGCAAAAGGGACCACCTTCATTCATCAAAGACTCTGCGTGGGGAATGGCTCCTCAAAAAAAACATCCTCCAGTAAATTAACATAGACCCTGCCAGATAGGGGTTGGAAGATTAGTTTCCATTAAAAAAAGGGTTATTTTCGGGGTCTATGTTAATTTACCAGAGGGTACCACTGGACTCTCAAAATGTGTCATTCTCAGTGGGCCGACGTGCCTAAGCAACGTGCGGGGCATGAAACCCCTCATCCTGGCTGCTTTCATCTGAGGGTGCACAGTTGGGATTTTTCATGGCTCTAACCATGGGTAAAAAGCTACAAGAAAACCCGTCGAAATTGGGATGTAAGCCCTATAAGTATAGCATATTGTGGCCGTATATCCGCTACTGGAGCTGCACCAAGTAAAACCAAGTGGCTTTTGATAAACCCAGGCCTTTTCACGTTGCATGTCATGAAGCCGCTGCCTCAAAAGCAGGAGAAAGCGGTCAAGCGGTGTTGGCTAATGGAACTTGGGGATTTTTTACATTGAACCATGGGTAAAAATGATTCAAACTTGTGGTTTAACCTATGTATATAGACAAATTGGGATTTATAATGATTGTTGAATTGCCACAAGTACGTTATCACAAGTTTAGACAATTTGGGTGATTTTGGGTGGTTGACGGGTCACTGTATTCGGAATTACATGGAGAGATTGATGAGGGCTCAACCTGCAAAAACAGGGAGACAATGGTGCAACTAAGGTGAAGAATAGATTAGTATCACTAAAGTAATATTATAAGCCAGTGATAACTGTTAAGAGCCATAACTACTTTAGGGATCTATCATCAACACACTTAACATCTAACCGTGCAAGGTTTGGGATCGCTGAGTTGACGCACAAGTAACTTCAAAAACTGTTGTACTGTTGGGTTTATGGTACATATGTCTATAGTATACTATAGTGGGGGCTATAAACCACAACGACTAAAAATCGCACGCACCGGTCGCTGGGTCATTTTCCGTGCATTCCATGTGTTCAATGGACGATTGGGTATACCCTGAAATGGCCATGTTAAGTGAGGGAAAGTGATGAGAAAACATTACCCTCTGGTAAACGTTAACAATATACTATTGAAAATCAACATTTTTTAATTTGTAAATCCACTATAAATCACCATTTTCAATAGCAAACTGTTAATTTTTTCAGAGGGTAGATTTAGGCCTATCCCATTTGCAAACAAACATTTTTGTGTTTCCGATGTTGGGAACACGAAAAGGAACTGCTCGTGTTGTGATTCTGATGTTATAAACATATCTTTCTATGTCCAAACATATGTCATTTCCGATCCAAATCTCCAGCCCAAAATGTGCTACAAGGTGGTGCCCCAGTGATGTGAATGTTGGTTTATAATCCCATTAACTAGTTCAATATATCTACCATCATAAGTCCTAGTGAAATTAGAGTTATTTGCGCCAACTTAGCTATCTTGGGGGCACCACATTGTACTTCGATAGGCCATGGGATGAGCGATTCCTGATTAGCAACTGGGGATGTAACCCCGTATATCCCAATTATAATCCATTTACTAACTAGATAACTAACTCCATGGCCCATCTAAGTACTGTGAGTCAACTGACAGACGCTAGATTTTCAGACAGACCGAAACATGTGGTAAACCCACAAATGGTAGTCCCCTAAATATCACATTTTTTTTATTGGTGGTAGACACCATCCCCAAATGGTAGGTTTATGGCATGGGGTTTCCCACTTTGTATCGCATCCATTAACATTCTATATGGTGGTTGCCTGAAATAGGGAACCCCCAGTTCTCATCCATTTTAAGCATTTTTGGATACCCCCATTTATGGAAACCACATGAAATATTCCACGAAATATCCCAAGCATTTTTGTGCCCAGGATCTCCATGGATCTCCTATTTTTCTTGCTCCAAATCCCGATTTCACCCATGCCACCGTGCTTGGCTTAGGCCACTTGGGCCCGGACTTCTTGATCTCCGCTTCTTCGTAGAGACCTGGGGCGGGATTCGAAGGCTGGAAACAATCCCCCGGATAAGGGGTGTAAGGAGTGTGAAATATTGAATTTCGTGAGCCCTGATTTTTAGAAGAAAATAAGTGGTGGAAACCACCCTGGTCAGGAATAAGTGTTGAAAACTACCTGGGAGTAAAAACACACCAACGTACAAGATTCAAACCCTGGTGGTTTCATGAGGGGCTGCCTTCCTATATGTGCCAATGATGATATCAATGATATCTAAAGTGATTTCTTGAAATTCATGGACCCCTTTGCCAGCCCCTGACACGCTGATGACTCTTTCGCCCTTGATGGCACCTCCCTGGTGTCAAGACCGTCTTTGCTCCAAAAACTTCTGTTTCCCTGCAACTTATCCAAGAAAAGTTTGTAGAATATTGAGAAATTCAATCAAACATGTAGTTGATGGCTTCCACTTACTTCCAGGTATGATTGATGTGTCAGTGAGTTGGCGCTGAAATGTGCTGCAAAGAACAGGGTAGAGTCACTGATACTTCAAACTTCTAACAAATCGGGCAACCTGAAAGAGCAAAACATTTCCCAAAACATGTTGCACTTGTTCAGACAAGATGTCTGGGACATCTTAAAATAGTTTGTAGATTATCTTTGGAAAAGTTTGCCACAGTCGGTCTGCAAAAACATTTTAGGCTGTTTCTCCAGGAAATTGCTGAAAGTTTGAAGCCCGATGTCTCTCCAAACACCTTACCTGAAAAAAAAATGTATCCCAACAATCTTGGCCTGTCTCCTTGACATCTTAACATGTCTCTCAGACATTTTGCCTGGACAAAAAGCAAGATGCCTCACAGGCAAGGTAATATCTTAACATTTCTCACAGACATTTTGCCTGAAAAAAAGGCCAAGATGTCACCCAGACATCTGAACGTGTCTCTCAGAATCTTGCGAGAAAAATGTCTCCCAGACATCTTAACATGTCTCTCTGAAAACAATGCCGAGGTGTCTGCATAAGAAATCTTAACATGCCTCTCAGGCATCTTGCCTGAAAAAATGCCAAGATGTCTCCCAGACATGTTAACATGTCTCCCAGACATCTTGCCGGACAAAAATCCCAAGATGTCTCCCAGGCATCTTGACATGTCTCTCAGAGACCTTGGCTGAAAATCATGCCAAGGTGTCTCCCAGACATCTTAACATGTCTCCCAGACATCTTAACATGTCTCTCGGACATTTTGCCTGAACAAAAATGCCAAAATGTGTCTCAGACAACGTAAGATGTATCCCAGACATCTTAACATGTCTGGGAGACATATTATTTTTCAAATATTTTTCTGTGCGTTCCACCATTTATTTTTAGTGGGAAAAAGTGTTTCCACCACTTATTTTTTGCCACCTTCGACTGTTCCACCACTTCTGATAATACAAAAAAACTGCACGATGTCTGGGCGACATGTTAAGATGTCTGGGAGACATTTTAAGATGTCTGAGAGACATCTTGCCACATTTCTTCTGGTACTGGTAAGATGTCTGGGAGACATGTTAAGATGTCTGAGGGGCATGTTAAGATGTCTGGGAGACATGTTAAGATGTCCGGGAGACATCTTGGCATTTTTTCTAAGCAAGATGTCTGAGAGACATGTTCAGATGTCTGGGGGACATGTTAAGTAAGCTGTCGGAGAGATATGTGGGAGACATGTTAAGATGTCTGGGAGACATCTTGGCATTTTTCTCAGGCAATGTGTCTTGTATTTTTGTTTCAGGCAAAAT